GCAGAACCGCCGCCGTAAGCGCACTGTGCACGAGTATCTTGTCAAGTGGGTTGGGTACTCGGCTGAGCACAACAGTTGGGAACCAGAAGCTAACTTTACCCCTGACCTAAAACCTCTGCTGGAAGAAGCACGGCAACGAGCACGGGCAAGGTAAGATTTGCGGGTTAAAGGTAAGTGTTTTAACTCCCGCGCGTTTTTGGCCCGATTTTTGCTCTGCCAGTTTCTTGCCATGCATCGAGGACGCTGCATCTAGAGGGGGGATAGTTGTTGTATTCCGCTTCTTAAATCTGGGTCCAAACTGATACATTTTCTGTCTAATTTTTCCTTTCTCGCTTGGCGCGGTTACTGGACAAGTTCGCTGGAACTAACTGAATTCCAACTGCCTATTTTGCCGCTTTTCTGTCAGATCTTTATGGCTCCGACCTCTGGGTCAGACGGCGAGCGGGAAGCTGTCATGGATGCCAACAAGTAAACGCCGCCTCAGGCGGAAGTCCATACTTGCAGAAGTATGGGCGGGGGTCGTAGCACAGGCTACGACTGGGACGCTGGTCCCTGGCTCGCGGAGCCCCGTCATCGATTGGAAGCATGGATCAACGGTACGCCATTCCGGACTGGACCGCGCCATTTCGGAATTGGCTGTACGATTCATGGGATGGCCGCATCCTCCGCTATTTAAGCGGGTGAAACTCTTCCAAATCGGTGTCTTCCGACGCCACCATCCAGTTGTGGTTTAGTAAGATACAACATGGCCTGATGTCGTAAATGTCGCTCGCCCGAATGTGTAGTAGCTCTGCCCAATCTAGGAACTCCTGCCATGGCTCTTTGTACTGNGCGACTGTGCTGCTAGCTCGCGCCTTGTGCGCCTGGCTTGCCAACGCCAGAGCTAGATCGCCGATCATGGGGTTAGCGTCCAAGGGCACCTGGNCAAGCAGTGTCTGCGCGCGTGCCCTTATTCCTGTGAAACCCGGGGGGCATAGGGTCGGGGGGCACAGCGATCCGGCGCGGGGAAGGTGTTTGGAAATCGATGAGAAGTGCGAGCGATAGCCAGTTAGCGGACCCTTTTGGGATCTCGTTTCCCGAAGACCCTGGCAGGAAAAGATCATACGCCTTGCCCAGCTCTCTTAGGCCGTGGACGCAAGGCGCAAACCACTTCCCGTCTTGAGTCAGATAGGACCACCAGTCGCGCGTCGGCCAGAGGGGAACGATCAGACAGATGCGTGCTTTGCACAGCTCTGCGTGCCGCAGGACCTTAAGTAGCAAACAGAAAGGCGGGTTCGCCCAGCAATTCCGCCCCCAGTGGAACCGAAGGCATCTACACCCGCGGTATCTGGCGTGAAAAAGCGGGAATAGTATTGTGGCAGCTGGTGATTGGTGTGTGACGCGAAAAGATCAATGTCAAAGGGGCCCCAGGCGGTGTTGAGCCTCTGAAATTCCTTACGGTTCACCATCCAGTCGTCCCGGTCCTGCAGCTTTGAGAGGTAGTCCGCCAGAGTGTTTTCTTCTCGCGGCCGCCACTCCACCTGCAGTGTGATACCCTCGGCAATACAGTACCAAAAGATTTCGCAGGCAATCCGGTACGAGTCCTCGGCTTTTGCGGACCCTTTGTTGAGGACGTTGGCGCAATTGAGATTGTCAGTAATCACCCGGATGACTTGGTGTCGTAGGCCTGCAGGACCGTTGAAGGATTGAAGTGCGTGTAGGACTGCCTGGAGCTCCTGGGGCGTTGACCCCATCGAACTGACCCTTACTCCCCAATTACTGCGGGCTTGGGCCAACTTCCCGTCGATCAGCGTCCAGGCACCCCAACCCCCGAGGTGCTTGGGGGATTTCCCGGCTGCATCGCAGAAAACGACCGAGTGCACCTGTGTGGGCTCCCAGAGGGCACGGGTTCCGTTAAACTGGTCGAAACAGCGCAGCCAGAATTCGAGCTCTGCAGTTGCGTCGTTAGATAAGCGGATGTGGGTATCCCAGGTGTGGCGCGACTCAATATCCTGCCCCAGAGCCCGGGTGTAGAGGCGGGCTACTTGCCCGAACGCCCAGGACATGGACAGAAGCTGCCCTTTTATGGAGGCCAATTGTCTCGCCTTGATGCGCCGTTTTCCCAGAGCCGAGCGGATGCAGTCGAGCAGGAAAGTGCGCTTATCTTCAGGCACAATGTACACGCCCTTAGCTGTATCTAACAGCATACCCAGGTACCTCACTTGCTGCTGGGGCTCGCCCATCATTGACTTGTCACGGTTCACGCAGAACCCCAGGCGCTCAAGGAGGTCGAGGATTATGGTGCGGCGGGCGATGAGGGTCTGGGCATCCTGGTGGGCGTGGATCTGATCATCGATGTATCCTGAGCACCGCCAGCCCTTCCGTCTCCAAGTCCGCATGATCTCGCATGTTAGCTTGGTGAATGCCCAACAGGCGGAGGCAAGGCCGAAAGGGAGTTGTGTAAAGACGAAGAACTGGCCTTGCCATTCAAAACCAAGGTAGCGCCAGTCTGCTTCGCGTACGTCCATATGGTGGTAGCCAGACTTCAGGTCCAGGGTGAACATGTAGTCCTTGGGGCCTAGCCAGCCTGGGACCTGCGCAAGCGACTCATAACGGAGCTCCGGGATGTGCAGGTGCTTATTGACTTCGCGTCCATCCCAGATGAGGTGGAGCTTGCCTTTCTGCTCTACGACGCCCAAAGGACAGGTCATGAAAGGGCGGGACTGGCAAGGTTTGATGGTCTCTGACTCCAGCAAACCCTCGATGGCAGAAGACACAAAATCCCCGTGGTCCCGTGCAGATTGGTGATTCTTGCCCCAGTACGGCCGGGGGGGAGGTCCTGAGTGCCACATCAGAGGGAACCCTTGCAGGACCCAGCTCAGCACGAGCTGGTTCACCACTGTCGCCTTCCAGACCGCGGCACAGGCTCTCAAACGCCCCCGCACCTTAGGCCTATCCTTGCTACCCATGCTAGGAGGTGTGGCTTCACAAGGCGGATCAACAGGCAAAGGTGCTGGGTTCTCACCTTCTGGGACCGCTTGTTCATTCCTCGAAGGGGCTCCTGGGTCTGGATGTGGTTCCTGGGCTTGGCGGGCGACCTTGGTCCGGGGCCGGGTGGGCTCTGCAGGGCCGGGTGCGGGACGCTTGGCGGTGTTCTTGGTCTCCACTTGTGTGTTGTCTCGTTGGGCAGGGGGGGGCTGCGCGGGGCGAGGGGCTCTAAAACCCGCGGCGACGAACAGTGCGCCCAGTACTGTGGCGGCCAAATTCTCTGCATTGCAAGAGACAAAGGATAAAAGAGGGGGAGATGAGTAGAGGCCGGGGCTCCTGGCGACTGAGGCTACGAAACGGTGGGAAGCCGCCCCTCCTGGGATGACGGAGAAAACCGAACAGGCTACTCAGGGGCGACCTGCGCCGCAGGGGACGGGGCCACCAGAGCCATCAACCTGTTTGATGCCTCTCTGTCGTTGTTGGGTACATGCATGAAGAGGGGAACTCGGACGGAGGAAAGGACAGGTCCAGCCTGAAGCCGGCCACCTGGGCCTGGAAGCCGCCATGGTCAACAGGACCGAGCCAACATGGCACAATAAGGCCCCAAGNCCAATCACAGGCGCCACCAAGGGCAAGAGCTCGCGCGCGTTACAAAGAAACCTCCCTCCAGGGTACAACTTGGTCCGACATCTTCTAGCGGTGGAAGGTCTGGAAGAGACCGGATGTGCAACTTAGCATAACAAGTCTTGTCAAAGATTGGGCCAAAGCATACTCCGTTCCAACCCAATAATGTTTGTCGCACTTGGAAGGCATAATTCATATTGCAATATTTAACTACACTTTTCATAATACTTTTATAGCTTCCAGTCTATAACATCCAGCGATGGCAGACAATGAGTCGTCAGGAGGTGACCATCCAACGCTCCCTGGGTCTACTCGCGTAAGGGTTATACAGGCGTTATTCACAAGTTGTTTTCTGACGTTAGCAAAATTAATTTGAATCCATACGGAGAGGATGATAACGAGGAGGTTGCGACGGACCCAGAGATTGAAGTACTGGTACAAGCAACATATCCCGCTAGCGATGATGAGGCTTTTAGTGACAGTGACTACGAGACCGACCTAGAACAAGATACCGATGAGTCGTCCGTGGATGAGGATTTTGTTGATGAGGAGGAGGACGCGAAAGAGGAGCAGAAGGGATGGGCGGCCGCGGCAGCCAAGGCGCTTGGCTTTCGCTGAGTGTGCCATGCCTGTGTAATCGTTCACGCGAAAGTAACATAAATAACGATTTGCAGGGCAAAAAAATGCAAAGTGTCACTTTCCACAGCGTTTTAGCCAAGGACAGTGTCCCCGTAAAGGTTTTGCGGGGTTCCCTACGAACGCGGAGGGGGGTTAAGAACGTTCTTAAGTCGTTCTTAGCCCAGCCAAATTGATAAAATCGAATAATCAGTAGAACGTTCTTACATCGTTCTAAGAACGTTCTAAGAACGTTCGTATGACCTCCGTTTATCTTAAAACCGTTCTTTCAAATTCTTTAGCATTCTTCAGGTCCCAGCAGTCTTATGTATTCTCTTTCATTCTTTGGGGTGTTCTTATACGTACTTAGTGATTCTTACTCTAAAGCATACTTAGCTGCTCTCTGGCCGGTTTTACCATTCTTACCATAGGTTTGCTAAGTATGGCACCCATTCTTAAGTCTCATTCTTAAGAAATAAAACCACTCTTTACCATTCTCTACGATTCTTTACCATTCTTTAGGGTCAGCAGTCTTATGTATTCTTTTCGTTCTTTGGGTGTTCTTATACATTCTTAGGCCAACTTATTGATTCTTTGCCTAAAGCATACTTAGCTGCTCTCTGGCCGGTTTTAACCATTCTTACCATAGGGTTTGCTAAGTATGGCACCCATTCTTAAGTCTCATTCTTATGAAATAAAACCACTATTTTACCATTCTTTAGCATTCTTTCGGGCCAGCAGCCTTCTGTATTCTCTTACATTCTTAGGGGTGTTCTTTTACATTCTTAGGCCAAATTATTGATTCTTTAATAAATAGGTGCATCCAGATTGTCATCGGAAAATTATATTGCCATGTAGCATGGAATGACATCATTTAACGAACAGCATGATATATAATCAATCGTTACATTTGGAATGACATGTATAAAATCTCAGTTGTGGGTATCAACCGTTTCCACATTTGTAACACAACCCCTTATACATTATGTGTGGGACAGGTGGGCATATCTACACCGGTGGTCGCTACCAGGTGAAACTCTGTCTACCCAGGTATTTCAGGGCACCCTCATCCAGCTGGATGACTGCAGTCACCCTAGCCGTCTTCTCAGTGAATCACTCGGGTACATCTCGGGAGTGCTCCCACCACCGTCATCCAACGACATGTACATCTGCAAACTTAATGGCGGCTGGAGTCCATTCCTGGTCAGCTCTCATGTCAACATTATCCCAGGCCGTTACTGTTCATCAAATAGCGGCACTCTTACCTTCCACCATCGGTAAAACGTTTTACCTTGACTGGTGGCAATCCTGGAACCTCCGGAAGCGTCAGTGTATACACACATGTGTTACCAATTCTGCCTGCTAAGTTCATGACCTATGTATATATGTATATGTACGACACACCAGCACTAGTAGTACTACATGTACAGGAACTTGATGAACAATGCATAACAGCCATAAGGATATTCATACCATGTTATGAACACATGTGTACACAGTGGCTACTTAGCACAGCCTTTCATAAGCCCATGATGCATAGAGGGTTTAATAGTTACATATGGTCTACTACACCAATCAAACTGGCTGCCTTACGGCAGCATAAATTCAAGGCTTTGCAGCCATTTGCAATGGGCAACCATCCATCCTCGTGGGTCAAGCAACAACACCCATCACACAACAGCCTTTCAATACCATGGCTCGAGATATGTACATGTTGTAGCATGTATACACATGTGCAGAAGGAGCAGGCATGCATGCCAACTCCATCCCGACACATAGGTCAAACATTAACCATGATGCTCCTCTAGAGGGATGGTCGGTATAATTGAGGGCCTGCTACATACTGCGACAAGGGCACAGCATGTCTGTCCTTGTCGATAGCCAGGATGCCCAGAACAGGCCAGGTTACCTGCATATATAGGAAGTAATGAAAGCTTGTCAGGATACAGGAACTGCTGGTGGTTAATTAATGTCCTGTCGTTCCTTACTTTATCAAACATGGTCAAGGGGTAGTCCTTGATGGTGAGTGTCTTGGTAGGCTCAGGCAGGGTAAATTTTGCACGGTGGTGCAGCCCCTTCATCTTGCCAATGACCAGGATCTCAATGGTATCCTCAATGGAAACCGATGCCTGCACCACCAAAGGATTAGTAAAACCGGATCCAACTGAGTAATCAGTTGCAGAAATGGCCAAATTATATGTTGCAAGTTAGAACACAGAGTGTACAGCAATCTGCCATAATATATACTTGCCATGTCACTGAGCACCAAGCCCGCCCCAAGCACTGATGGTGTGCTCGGCTTGTCTTTGGAGCCGCCCACCAGATAGCAGCCAATCGTCTTGTCAGCCAGGTTGTACTTGTTGAGGTAGGACATGTGGCCGCCTGCCGACTTGTACTTGTCCATCTCCTCCAGGCTGTCATCCAGAAGGGAGGCCCAGCAGCAGGGGTCAGCGGGAGCAGCATTTCCTGGGCCCTGCTGCTGTGCTGCATTCGGAACCTCGTTGTCCTGCTGTACTACCGCGGTGCCATCTTCAGCCGTGTCCGGAATATTATGATTAGGCACCTGGGCACCCTGCTGGGCAGGGGTTGGCTCATCACCTGCAGAGTCATGCATGACATGAATGCCCAGGTCAAATTGTAGGCAAGCAGGAGGGATGATGGCATGTTGAGGAGCAACTGACATATACCATGCATGCACATATACATAGAGCTTGGGTTCCTGTGTACATACACATGTGCTGGCTAGCGCTATTGCACATGGATTGACTAGGTGCAGGCAGCGGGAAGCATCACATGTCATGTTGTCTCCATTTATACAAGCATGATGAGGCTAGCAAGTTCACAGTCACGCACCCTTCTCTTTCTGTGTCTTCTTAGCCATGTTGCGGAGGTTCTTCCATTTGTGGCGGAGTGACTTCATCAATTCTTCAGCAACATCCTCCTCGGTTGTACAACATGTGTTTGCCTTGGCCTTAATGCCTACCATGGTGGTGGCACCTTCAGTTCCGCCAAATTTATTAATAAGTTCTGCAATCCGAACCTTCACCTCCTGTGGATTGATAAAAGCATACAACATTACAGGAGTGTCTTAGGGTTAGCCCATGCAAATATTTCATCAGGATATATGATATGTGAAACAGGGGGGTGTATCTTCGCCCGTGGCAGCTACCCTGCGAAACCCTGCCTTCCCCAGTATTTCGGGGCACCCTCATCCAGTCACCCTAGTCAACTTCTCAGTGGATCGCTCAGGTTCCGCACCCACCACCAGCATCCAACGGAATCTGCCGGGTCGACAGCGACCCAACTCCATTCCTGGTCGGCTCGCGGGTTAATTTTATCCCAGGTCATCACCGTCCATCATCCAAGGGGGCAATGCCTTCCACCATCAGAAGGACTTTAACCCTATCGGGTATCGATCCCGGGATCTCCCGGGGGCAATGGTCGCGCCTTACCAGTGGTGCCAAACCGTCTATGGATGTATGTTGTGAATACTCAAGAATCCTGGACCATGACACCTTACCGGGATGTCCTTGAAGTTGGATGCAGACATGATGTCCGAGTGAAACTCCTTCTCAAGCAAGCCCGCCATCTCCTGTGCAGTACGCTTTGTCCTCTTGCTGCAGTCATTGCTTGCAGCAGACTTTGCACGCTTCCGGACCTGCTGACCCTGTGCTCCCACGTCTCCCTGGCAGAGTGCATTCAGACCCGCAAGAAGGAGTGCAAGCTCAAACGTTTGAGTTAACTGCTTCAGCCCCCCAGACAGCAGGGCAGACTTCATGTCCACAGTGAAGTGGTTGATAGCCTGCAGCTTGGGGTTGTTAACGTCTGGGGCATACATGCCATTCGCCACCAGAATTCCACATACTGCAAAGGAGTGATGAAAGGAGCCCTAACTCCCACAGTAGAGTTTATACTGCTCAGGCCACTGGAGGATGGCTGCAAGGAGCTGGCCCTCGTCGGCCTTCAAATCCAGGTTGTGCATCTCCACCCAAGTTTTGTGTTGGTCTGAGAAAATTTGAAGATGCATCTCAGGATCGTGATTCACCACCACTGCAGCAGTGTCCTCGACGACAGCCGCTCCTGCAGCATGGGTCGGCATCAGAGAATATTGTTAAACCCAATATGACAATAAACATTGTAAATATACATGAACTGAGATCTTTCACAGAGGAAGGAAATGAGAACCCTAAAGTAGGGTCCGCCGCCTAGGTATCTTTAACCACCTGTTGGGACACCACATACCTTCACTTGTTGCTTGCTAAGCTTTGATGATAAGACAGTAAGCCTAGTGGATCTGCGAGTCTCCAATGGAGCTGAGTGGGTACTCTGTCGTCTGATAGGCGAGCGAGGCGACCGGATATTGTCAACAATGGCTTGAAGTCCTAGCTTTGCAAGGAATTCCTTTTATTTGGCTATACGAATAGCATGCTCCTCATCCAAGCTTAGATTGGAATGCTGAAGAAATTCGGTCCTTGATGAACCCTGGACACTTTCCGGACCTGAGATTTTAGGAAACTGCATATGGATGAATTATATGGATGAAAATAATATGGTTTCGTGAGCTGGCCATCATGCAAAATGACTTGCACCATGTGCCGTACCCTAACATATGTGCGTGTACGACAGGCAACCCAGCTCCTGTTCAGGGGCTCGGCTGTCACCCTGGCACCTGTACAAACCCGTGGCTTGCAGCCTGACATGTCCACTTACCTGCTGCAGCCCGCTGCCTGACGCCAGCGCCATCCCTGGCTGCAGCAGCTGCATTGCCCCCGGCTGCCCATCCTGTTCCCCTGCTTCGGCGCCTTCGGCAGCCATGGCGGTTTCCACCTCAGCTGTGGCGGCACCCATCTCCGTGTTGGGCTGGATGGGCAGGGCTAGTAATAGGAACCAAAGGGGATAACTGAGTTGTGTTCAGCCCACAAAGATTAGCTGGGAACAAGGCGCTAACTTCAGACAACACAAGATCGCCCGATAACTGTGCAACCAAGCGCAAGTCAGAACGT